GGTCTGGCGCCTGATTTCTGGCTCTTCCCCAAAGTCTAAATGATGCTGCAAGGTAAGCGTCTTTGGTCGGTTCAGGATGGTGAAGTGGCCACAGCAGCTCAATCAAAGGCACTCACAAAAGATTTTTGGAATTGCTTTAGAAAGCGGCAAAGACAATGGGTTAGCCAGTTGGAACCAAGTTGGGCAGTGCTGGGGGATTAACTGCCATGTGACCTTCACCGTAATAATCTCCCTGGAATGCAAATATTCACCATACGTTTCAGTCACATGCTGTACCTTACTGGGGCCAAAGGAAGCCGTATCCAGGTCACATATCTAGGTGACATCCTCTACCTGAAGCAGAGTAGGTTTCTGTTTCTGTCCACCTGTTCTGCAGTAGACACAGATTCACTGTGAGGAAGAGCCCCAGTCTCCAGGGCTGCTGTCCCCTGACTGCCTGCACTTTATTCTTCTGGTGACTGAAGATACACCCAGCCAGGAGGACTCTGAGGGGCCTCAGGGACAGGGGAGCCATGGGGTTTGGCTGAAAGCAATCTTGCTAATTCATCAATGATGCTACGAAGGTCAAGAGGGGGGCTGAACTGAAAATCTTTTTTGATCCAGAAACTAGAAGTAGCCAATGACAGCAAAACATGTTTGTTTTTAAACTACCACTGTATTTAGTTAATAAACATAATAAGATAAATAATTGCTATGTGCTGGGTCCTGTCTTAATTACTTTAAATTAAGAGCTAAATTGCTAGCACTCAGCTTTATAGACGAGGAGATTAAGACACAGAGAAGTGAAGTGACCGGCCAAGGCCACTCGGCTGCTAAGTGGTAGAGCTGGGATTTGAACCCCGGGACCTCAGCTCCAGAGAGTGGACTCTCACCACTCCTCCCAGGCCACATTTTAGTAGGGAGAATTTTATCTAGTAATGAAAACTATGGTCCTGAAAGTAAGGTAGGAATATATATAACTGGCTTATATAATACTAATGGGATAATTAGTTGCTAAAACAGCTTGAAGAACATATAGAAAAAAAAGAACTAGAAGAAAAATACCATGTAAACCGTGAAGTTAGTTAGATTGGGAGGTCACACGCGATGGCTTCTCCCACCGTTCCCCCCGCTGCCTCCCTGTCCCTTACTCCCACTCTGGGCCCTTTTATTAAATATTAACACACGCTTTTATTAAATGCCTCCTGTGTGCCGACCTCTGTGCGCTGAAGTATCTTATACTCTAGATGTTCATATCCCAACCTTGCCTGTTTCCAGGTAGGATTTCTTAGGCCTGGGGTGGCTTGGAAGGTTCCAGCGTGAGTCTGTGTGAGGCAAGCTGCTAAGCGAGCCGTCTGATCTAGGAGGGCCTGTTTTGTGTAATTGCTGTTGAGTAAGTCTTATGAAAGACTGCTGCCCTCTCCGTCCCCAGCACACGGAGGTTACCTTATCTCAACCAGAAGTGGCTCCCACCCGCAAGCTTTCCCAAGGTCCCCCTGACCCTTACAAGGCTCGTGGCCTTCCCCGACACCATGGTCAGTACTGCCTGGTCTCCAGCATCATAGGTAGGAAGCAACGTCGGAGTGGAGCCAGAGCGAGATCACAGGCTCTGCACAATTGTTTGTGCTTCCTGAAGAGGTCCTAAGAGACAGCCAGGCAGTCCGAGTCCTTGCCAAGATGTCAGTGAACTGTCACAAGAGGCAAATTTTAAATAGCAATATTGTGCATGAAGAGGCCTTAAAATCCGAAAGAATAGTACAGTTTTATTTTTACTAAAAGAGCTATTAAAATAATCACTCAGAATAGGCACTGTTCGGCACTTACAATTATTACCCGCCTATGTTCCGCTGATAAAAAGCCGCTTTGCACAGAGGCCGGGGTGGGACGGATAGGAAGGGATCGCAGGGTCAAGCTCACCCCTGTCCTCTGTGCTGCGCTGCATCTCAGCCGAGGATAAGCAGATGGCCTCTTGCATGCTTTGGCTTTTCTAACTCACTGCCAAGTCTAAACAAATTCTTTTGGCTAGGACAGACTTTATTCCAAAGGATTACTGCAGGGGCATAGGGACTGCAGGAGGAATGCTTTGACCACGTGACCTGTAAGTATCTCGAGGATTAGGCAAAAGGGTTTTGCTCTTTTGGGAAAGAGTAAACAAAGTTAGGAAGGACTGGATGTTGGGATGTGGATGGTCAGGCATCGCAGGATCAGATGTGTGGACCTGAGGCCCACAGAACCTCAGGAGGGGCTACAAGGGAGGGTTGGGCTGGCTCAGGCTTAGGGTGGGCCTGAACCCAGGAAAGGAGAGAAATCTTACCAAGGCTGGGTTTGTAGAGGCTGGGATGCATTTGACCAGTGGGAACAAGCCTCTCAGTGAATCATCTGTGGAGCAGAAGAGGAACTGGAGGTCGGGGTCTGGCCTTGTCACAGGCGAACGAGACACGAGTTCCATCTAAAGCCTGTGGGAAAGGGGATTCTTTGCAGAAAATCACTTCCCAGAACACCAACGGTGGGGGGTTTTTGACCATTACTATTTTCCAGGATCACAGGGCTTGACCAGAGCCTGCTCAGTTTGTATGTAAAGCCTAGCCACGTACCAGGCTCTTCCTGGGAACTTTGCTAAGACAGCAGGATCCTAGATCCATCGAAGACCTTCAACAATGTCTAAAAGGTCATTCTCGGAGAAAATGAGGCCCAGATCAGAATGTCCCCTCCCTCCTCTTACTGCTTTGCCTGTCACCTGCCTTCTTCCATTCTCACCACGTTTTCAAGGTTCAATCCTGCTGTAACATGTGCCATGACGTCATTCCTGTCGAATTCATCAATGGCATCGATTGTGCAGATAACGCGCATTCTGCTTATCTATCCTTCAGTTGATGGAAATCTGGGTAATGTTCTTTGTTTTGCTTGTGAGTAATGCGGCTGGGGCTCGTACTTCCTCATACTTTGGTGCAAAATCACTAGGTCATTTGGTGACAAGCATGTACTCTGAGGGGCTGCCAGACTGCCTTCCAACACAGCAGTAGCTAATTCGGTCTCTGGGTTAGGGGAAAGGCGAGGTTTAGGCAAGCCGCAGGCCAGCTGGAGAAGAAGGGAAGTTATAACGCGGATGTGGGGTGGCTCAAAGCCGCATATGAAGATGTTGCTTGAGGTTTTCGGAAACTGTGCCCTCACGAGCTGGAAAGCTACCCTCTCGCCTCTGTAGACACCACTAGACTTGAGACTCTGCTCTTTTTGGTGGGTTTTCTCCTCTTCATTTTCAGAAAGACGCAGCCTATGCCTTCATGTATGATAGGAGGCCGCCTTCCTCCACCCCTTGCTGGCTCGCTCAGGAGTTTTCTGTCCTCCTGAGCTGTCTCGGTCCACTTGGGCTGCTGTAATAGAGTAGCACAGACTGGGAAGCTAATGAAGAAGAGAGACTCGCTTCTCCCAGCTCTGGAGGCTGGGAAGCCCAAGATCAAGGCCTCGTGTCTGCAGTGCAGTGAGACTATCTCGCCCTGTGATGAGAGCACCTAACCCATTCACGACAGGGGGCCTTCACATCCTCCTGTCACTTTAAAGCCCTGTCTCTTCACACCATCAAAAGTACTGACACCTCTGCATCTTAGGAGGGCTGTGTTCAAACGGCAGTGTGGGCTCAACAGCAGTGAAAATCTCCTGGAATCCTGCAGCCACAGCTGCACCTTTCTGGGAGGGTAACGCTGGTTGATTTTGGTTCAATTGGGGCCACAGTCAAAGGGTGGAGTCACACAGGAAAGTTGTAATCCTGAGGCTTCTGTGGCATAGGGGCAGCTTGAGTGGGGGCACATGTGCCAAAGCACTGCACACACCATGTGTTAGGCCCCAAGGCCGGATGGTAGGCTGGAGAGTGCAGAGTGCACGGTCCTCCCCTGGATGTGGGGGCATCAGTGGATCCCAGGTTTGGGTGCAGGTGACATTTGCATACCTTGGCAGGCAGCAGGTCCATGGGGTAGAGGCTTTCCCCCACACTGCAGCCCTACAGAGCAGCTGAGGTTTCTGTGCTGCATTTCTGTGCTGAGTCAGGTTTTCTCCATGCAGAGGGAACATGCTAGTAGCCTACAGTTGTAGGAGGCTTTGGCACAATCAGACTCAGTCGTGCCCATTTTACTGCAGAAGCACAAAGTGTGCTGCATCACGGAACAGGAGAGACGCCTGTGAAACCCCGCTTCACCCACAGGCTGTGTGGATCCTGGCTGCAGTGTTGGCTTTCCCAACAAGTGGGTTCTAAACTAGCTATTTTCAGGCAAATTTGTGTATTTCCTTGTGAGCCACAGGTATGGGGAGTCAGTGTTGGGAGGATCCCTGACTATAACCCCTACTTCTGACACAAGACATCACTCAAGGCTTTAGGAAAAGTCCCATGACACGGCCAGGTGGAGCGATTGCTCTCTGGTGTGATTTTAAGGACATACTACCCGTTACATTATTATATTGTGGCTCAGAGGATGACTGTCTATCCATATTGTTTATCAATTTCAGAAAGCCATGCCTTGCAGTTTGTGGCTGCAAAGTCCTTTTTCCAGGGTCCATAACATCCTTCAAAGTAGGGTAAACTCTCATCCCAAATTCTAAGAGTCCTGACTCATGTTTTATAAGAAGATTCCTCCCTCTGGCCTCATGCACGTTGGCCCCTCTCTCTTTCTCTCCCTTTCCTACACTTGCAGGCCCAGCCAGTCACCATGGCCATTAACAAAAGAAATTGCATGAGAAAAATAAGCACTTTCTTGTAGACAAAATGGACAATGTTATAATGTGTTTTCTGTCCACATTTACCTTCTACCTATGAGTGCTTATTGCCCACCCAATTCTACTCAGCCTTCCTTTGTTAAACAGACAAACTTATCCTGCCCATTTTCTTATTTAGTAATCAAAGAAAGTTCCCAGGAGCCCCTCTCTTCAGAGAGAATGGACAGTCAGAAACAGCAGCCAATGAATACCTGATTCAGAAATTCCTCTTGTCACTGTGGTTCCCACTCACGCTCTCTTGCCTTGCCTCCTTGCAGGTTGTGACTCTGGATTTGGCCATGCATTGGTTCAGAAGCTGGACAAGCTGGGCTTCACAGTATTCGCTGGAGTTTTAAATGAAAAGGGCTCAGGGGCTGAAGAATTGCGAAGAAACTGCTCCAAGCGTGTCACTGTGCTCCAGATGGACATCACTGACCCAGAGCAGATAAAAGATGCTCACAGCAAAGTTGTAGAGAAGGTGCAGGACAAAGGTACTTACTTAGCTTCTGTGTTAGCTACTTTTCTCTCTTTGCTGAGACAAAATACCCGAAACTCACAGTCAAGGAAGGAAAGTTTTACTTAGCTCACAGTTCGTAGAAGTTTCAGTCTACAGTCAGCAGGCTCCAAGGCAGGATGGCACGACACAGGGGCAACTGTTCACGGTGGTGGAAGACAGCAAAAGTAGCAAGAGCCAAGAAGGAGGAGAGCAAGCCTGTTTTCCTCCATTATATTGTAAGTAGGCTACCACTCCCTAAGGCAGGTGTAGCCCTCTCACCATCTCCCTGCCCTCCTCTTGCAGGGGATGAGGATATTTACAAAGAGAGGATACTGGGCCCCTGCTGAGTCACTAAGTGAAGTTTCTAAACTTCTCAAGTTGGCACAATGCATTAACCTTAAAATTCACCCCTTGTCACCCACACACATTTCTTTAAACCGGTTTCCAGATATAAAGACATGCTTATTCTTATCATTTCACAACTTGAACATTATGACACAGGTTAAACAAGTCTTAAGAGCCAGTGTTAAGTCTATTAACATTATATTACATTAGAACCATAACATTCTGTTCCTAGCTCTCCAAAGACTCAAGCACATGTCTTTAAAAGGATTTAATCCATCTTTAAGAGTTGCCGAAGTCCTAATAGTTTCAGCATTGCTGAAAAGTCCAAGTCCCAATTCTCCTCTGAGATGTAAAGCACTCTTAACTCTAAGCCCCTGCACAAATGAAAAGTTAAACACTTCCAACATTTGATGGCATAAGGTAGACATTTTCATTCCAAAAGTTACAAACAGGAGAATACAAAGGAATGGGACCAAAGGAAGTTCAAAATCCAGCAGGGCAAACCTTGAGTCCTGTATTTCCTCAAGCAGCATCTGAGGCAATCTGTGGCAAGTTATGCACTCTAAAGGGCTTGGATGGCTCTACCCTTATGGCACTTCTGATGGTTGTAGCCTCCCTGGCTTCTCTCTTGGGTCCACTCTGCTCCCTCCTTGCAGCTTTCATTAGACAAGCCACATTCCTGGCTTTTCCAGACTTCTGAGGTCTCTACTGCATATGAACCTCTCAGCTTCGTATACTGCCCTCTCAGTGGCACACTACCTTACCTTCCCGATCTTCTGAACTTGAAGTGGAAACTTTCTTGACCCCACAACTGCTGCATTCTGCATATACCTCAAGCCAGAGCCATGTGGATGATGCTGAGGTCTACTGCCAGCTGGAGCAGTAGTCAAGCTTCCCTCTCTTTTGGCTTAGAGGTTGAGAGTCTGGATCACTGGGTACTCTGAATCCAATTCTGAGGAACAAATTGTCTGTGATACCACCATTTTGGAAGATGGTGCAGCAATCTCCATTCTGGAACATGGTGCTCTGCCACTATCTTCTCAAGGCAACATCATTCACCTTTGCAGTTTTGAGGTGCAAATGGTGATTATTTGCTGCTTATTGTGGTGCCCTCAGGCCATCTTTTATATTCTCCTGTTCCTTCTCAACAATTGAGATCACCTCAACTCCATCTTTGTAGTTCACAACTTTACTGGAGCTTCCTTTCTGGCTAAATTTACAATATTTTAAATCATCCTGCTGGACTCTTTGCTCTTGAGTCTCAACATAGATATGGCTAAAAGCTCCCAACAGTAGCCATGCTACTGCCTCAACATTACAGTGACTTGAAACTTTCTAGGCCAAATTAAATTAATTAGTCCACTGCCCTTAATTTGAGTCTCAGGCAAAGTCTTTGGACACAAGCAAAATGCAGACAAACTTCCTGCCAAGCTATAACACACATCTGGACTCCAACAGTCAATACAGTCCTTTTTCCCAATAGAAACCTCATGAGCCTGGTCTTTCCAATAGAAATCAGCAGGATTTCTGTCAGCCTTTTAGTCTCTTGAGCTCTGACCAGAATGTCCCATACAGAACAGCCTAAGGCATTCCAGCACTACTGTTTCAGGTGATATCTCCAAACCTTTCCAAATCCTACCCACAAGCCCTTTTCAAAGGCTGTTGAGTCGCATGGTCAGCTATAGTCACAGCAATTACCCCACTCCTGGTACCAAATTCTGTCTTACTTCTCTCTCATTGCTGAGATAAAATACCTGGCACTCACAATCAAGGAAGGAAAGGTTTATTTAGCTCACAGTTTGTAGAGGTTTCAGTCCATAGTCAATTGGTCCCAAGGCAAGGTGGCATGGCACAGGGGGGCAGAAGACATAAAAAACAGCAAGAGACAAAAAGAGGGGAGAGCAAACCTCTTTTCCTCCCTTACTTTGTAAGCAGGCTGCCCTCCCCAGAGGACAGGTGTAGCACGCACACTGTCTCTGTGCCCTCCTCCTGTACAGGATGAGGATGTTTATAAACAGAGGAACCTGGCACCCTGTTGAGTCACTTTGTTAAACTTCTAAACTTCTCAAATTGACATGATGTGTTAGCCATTACAGCTTATCCCCCGCTCCACACTCTTGATTGCTCACTGTTGTCCTTACTAGTGCTCAGCTCTTGTTTCAGCCTCTGATGACCAAGCCCTCTGTTTATTCTGGCTACTGGGTATGCCTGGGGACATCTGTACTGAGCCCCTTCCACATGCAGGAGATTTTGTAGGCACAAAGGTATTAGAGATGACTCGGACATGGGTTCTGTCCTCAGAGAACTTGTAGAGCCTCCATTCTGTTTCCTCTAGCACCTCCTGGGTCACTCTTCCATCCCCCCCATTGCTTTCCTCCTTAGATTTGCCCAACTTGGAAACAAGCAGCTTCTTTGTCCTCTATCTCTCCCACCCATTGCCCTGTCTCTCCTGTTTTCAAGGCTGTGGTCTCTGGAGCTCTTTTGCTCTGTTTTACTTTTTTTTTTCTGTACAAAGGACAGTAGCTAACAGCATGCCTCTCTTACTGGTCTGGCAAAAGGAGTTATCATCCTAAGAGCCAAGATCTTTTCTCTGTAGTATGTAAACATATTGATTATGCTCTCCACTTTGGCTTTAGGGTTCTCAGCCATGCTCCTATCCCCAGTCTCTCATCATTCTTTTTGCTTTTTATGGATAAGCCCTTTCTTCTCTATCCCCCCAAAATGTGCAGGCTTCTGAGGCTCTGTCTCCAATTTCCCTGTCCTCATTCCCTGGGCCAGACTGTGCTCTTGCGATACCAGGATTCTCCATCCAGCTGGGTGTTAGAATCATCCAGAAAGGCTTTGTAAACATTGTTGCATGGACCCAGAATAGGATGCCCAACTTGTGGAACCCAGTACAAAATGAAAATGTGGAGCCCTTCCTCAAGAAACAAGAATTGAAAATAGTGACAACAGAGTTAATCAACTGTGGGCTTCTCAAATCCAGGCCTTGTATGACTGTCTGGATCCTACACTCTAAAAGTCTACCCTGCCCAGATACCCCACCCCAAATACCAGTTAAAGCAGCATCCTTAGGAGAGAGTCTCTGGCATCACTAGGAAGGCTAATGTTTCATCAGTGTTGAAAAACACTAATTTACACCAAGAACCTTCAAGGTTTTATTGCCAACTCAGCCTTTCTTCTTAATATCCAGATCTATCCAACACCTTTGTTACAGCCTAGATCAATTTTATAATTATATTAAATCATTAATGCTCATCAAATAAAATAGCCTGCCAGACATTTCCACTTATGTCCCAGAGGTTCAGAATCAATGTGTTAAAAACTGACCTCCTTATCTTTTTCCCCGTCATGCCAGACTGCAAAGCAGGTTGCTCTCGTATGCCCCACAGATCAGATGCTGGAGCTGCCACTTAGCCAGTCATTCCAGCCAACAACCAGGGGGTCACTGACATCCCCAGCCTGCCCTTGAACCCTGTATCCTTTTGGCTCTGAGCTCTGTCCAGTGCATCTCTTGATCCTGAGAATCCAGCCCCTTCCTGCTATGTGCTAGAGGCTGTGGCTTGTTCTAGGTCTTCATCATCTCATGTGTGGATGCTTCAAAAGCCTCTATGAAACCTATCTTTTCTCCCCAATACTTCCCAGCTGGACAGTAACTTCCCCAGTGTAGACATCTTACAATGACACCCACCTCCTAAATATCCCTGGGCATACAGTGCCTCCATGTGCTGAGGTCCTCCTCCACACCAGACCTATGCACGGTGACTCATTCTGGCTCTGCGGCTCCCTATCTGCCACAGATATCATCCAAACACCTTTACAAGAACTGTAGGATGTGCCAAGCCCTTAATCTGCAGTACCTGCTGGCCCAGTTGGGAAATTCTGGCAAGGCTGCAGAACACAAGTGGTATGTTCACCTCTGTACATCCAGTTTCCTTTTCCTTAAATTTCCATCTGGCATTCAGTGCCTTTTCCTCCAATTACTGCTTTGGTCCAACTGAGTCTCTGTGGCAGACCTCCTGTCACTTGAATGGCCCTCTAATAATCCTCTTCACTCACAGATCTGTTGTACTTGTTTTGCAGCCTTGTTGTAAACATCTGCCTCTCTCCCTACTCCCTACCACTAGGCTCCTTGATGCTGAGAGCTATGCATGTGTCAGCATTCTTTCAGATGCGAATGACACGGCCTAATTCAAAATCACTAAAGCAAAGAGGAATGACGTGTTTGAAGAGACTTGTTGGCTTCAAGTATGGCTGGATCAGCAAGATCATTAGGATCAGCCTCTGTGTTTTCATTCTACGTTCTCCTGTGTTGGCTTCATTTGGGGACTTTCCATGGAGTCCCCAGGCACTGCCAGATTCCATCCTCTCTGTACAAAGGATATTCCCAGGGAAAGCGGATAAGAGTGCCTGCTTTGCTGTGTTTTATAAAGACCTGTGACAGGAGCTCCAAACATAAAGAAATGACTGAGAAGGGAACGTTGCTGACCTGATTCGATCAGCACATGCTGTGTCGAAATGTTACACTGCAAACCTCTAGAATTTGATGGCAAAAGTTGGCAAGCTGTGGTCCTTCCTGGACTTGAATGTTTTTATTTTGAAACATTTGTAGAGTCGCAGGCAGTTGCAAAGAAACACAGAGGGCCGTCCCGTGCACCCTTCACCCAGCCTTCCTCCTTGAACACACTTTGTATCACTGTGTACATCAAAACTAGGAAGCGGACACTGGTCCTCTTCATGGAGATGACTTAGGTTTCACGCCTGCTAATCCATGTGCTCACGAGTTTGTGTGCAGAGCTTTACAGTTCTCTAGCGTGCCCAGCTCTGTGGAATTATCTCCACAATCGCACACTGCGCCATTCCCTCACAGCCAGGCTCTCTGTAGTGTGCATTCCACAGCCACATTCTCACCCTTCACTACGGGCGACTGCTAATCTATTTGCCATCTGTTTAGTTTGCTTAGAGCATGTTGTCTGGGCCTGTCACCTGGCTTTGTATTGTGCGCGAACTAAGAAAGGTTTTAAAATTTTTATGGTCAAAAGAGAACAGGGGGGCATTTCTGACACAATGATATGGCAGTTAAATATCAGCGATCCTAAGTAAAATTTCGCAGAAGCGCAGCCCCTTCCACTCATTTGCACAGGGTCCGCGGCTGTGCCGGCTCATCCTGGGACGGCAGAGCTGAGGCAGCGGGCTGAAACATTGATTACCCGGCTTTTCACAGAGCAAGTCTGCCGCTTTCTGTGCTAGGAGACTCTCCAGCTGCACGCGGAAGGGTTAAAGTGGGCATGGGCTGAGCAAACTGAAGCCATCACTTGCTGGGGGCGGGGAGGCACACAGACAGACAGACAGAGACAGAGAGAGACAGAGAGAGAGAGAGAGAGAGACAGAGAGAGAGAGAGAGACAGAGACAGAGAGAGACAGAGAGACAGAGAGAGAGAGAGAGAGAGAGAGAGAGACAGAGACAGAGAGCTCTTCACACCCCCAGAGCTGTTGTGCTCTTGCTGTAGCTCAGACATCAGGCCACTTAATGTTCCCAATCTCTAGTGTGTGCAAGCATCAGGTGCCACCCAGGCATTTTCCTGTTCTTTTGTTCAGAGCCGTCTTTCTGCCAAATGGCAAAAACAATTCCAGGCATTTGGAAACTTACCTCACCTTTTTGGGGTAGCACTTACATTTGTGGGCATGGGATATTTGGTCACTGAAGGTCAGCACTTCCTGCCGATCCCTGAAGAGATGTCCAGGGCTGTGTGCAGACATCACAGGAGTTGGTTGCCACCGCCACTTCACTGCCATCTGACAGGCACGCTGGGCCCAGCCTTTCTGGCTGCTGTACCACAGGCTCTCACCCTTGGCCCAGTCTCAGCATCATAGAGGCGTGCGCTATGGCAGGCACCAAGCTCACCTGCTCCTGACTGCAGTTTCTGATCCAGCAGGTCTAGCAAAGGTTCACAAGTTTGTATTTCTAGTCCGTTCTCAGTTGCTGCTGCTGCTGCTGCTTGGACAGCACCTGGGGGAGCACTGTCCCACAACACGTTGGGGCTCCAGGAACTCAGAGTCAGCTTAGGTCTGTCTGGCTACACACAGCTACGTACACACTTCTGGTTCGATCCCTCTGCTTCTCCACGGTCACTTCTGCACCCCTCCCCACTGCCTTCCCTGCAAAAACCTCACCTGAAGCTATTGTAATTCCGTTTGTCTACCACTTAGGGAGTGGTTCCCAGGCTTGATTTTGCCTTGGAACCACCTAGGTTTAAGTTCTCATCCCTGCATCCCCGCTCTTTCCCTCCTCAGCGATCCTGACATAATATGGCCAGGGTCCTGGGGCCTTCAAAGCTCCTAATGTGCTGGGTGTGAGGGGTGATTATCACTGCTTGTGGACAGCAGTGTTCTAAGGGGATGGGTGTGACCAGACCTGCATCGTCAGGGCCACTTGGGGACCTGTTAGAAATGCAGATTCTTAGACCCCCACGTGACACCTCAGCTCAGGAACTCTGGAGATGAGTCTGAACAAGCCTTCCTGGTGATTCTCCCAAGGAGCTTGGCAGGTTCAAACTGGCTGGGCAGAGAGGAGAGTTCAAACACTGTTAGGGTTTCCACGACTGTCCCAGGCCTTGGTACTTCCCTCTACTCTTCCTGTTTCCCTAGCCTAGGAAATCTTCTTAGTTCAGGGGATAAAAGAGATTTTATATCATCCCGAATTGTTATAAAGGTGTTATCTTTATATACTTCTTGGAGAAGGAAACAGAAACACGGCATTTGCAACTTCAAAGTGAAGCAGATATCTAGAGTCCTTCGTGTAGGAAAGAGCTTTGAGGGAAAGAACAAAAACAAAAACCCAAACCAAATCCAACCAAAAAACATTCATCACAATGTATTCTCTGCACAATACCACATGGCAGGCACTTCTAGGTATTTGTAGAGCCTGAGGTCCAAGAGTTTGTAATCAGCCTGGATTCTAAATCTCAAAGGTATATGTGTGAGCTTGCAGAGAATGAAGTGTCAAAAATCCCCATGCTTTTCAGTGTTGCTCATCTTCAAAATTGTTCCTTTCTGTCCCCAGGACTGTGGGCTCTGGTCAACAATGCCGGCATCCTCGGGTTCCCGATAGATGCGGAACTCATTCCCATGATGAATTACAAAAGATGCATGGAGGTGAACTTCTTCGGACCCGTAGGAGTCACGAAGGCATTTTTACCTCTCCTTAGGAAAGCCAAGGGGAGGCTGGTGAATATCAGCAGCATGGGAGGTGAGTCGGCCTTGTGCTGTGGTCACAGTGTGCCCACAGCAAGACATGTCGCACCGCATTCTTTGTGGGCTGGAAAAAGAAAGGAAGGCACGCAGAGGCAGGGCTGGGTGCGGGTTCGTCAGCTTGTGTGTCTGTTGCTGATCTTACGTCAATGCAACTTTCAAATCCTTTCATGCCTCAACTTTTATCTAACACATCTGTTAATTACTGAGGATTATAGAATTCTTAAGTATCTTCATCCTACAGCTGCTGAAAAACAGGTTTCTAGATTCGGACATGAAATCTCCCATGACAGGAAACCTGGCTTCAGCCGTCTCCTACTCCCTATGTTGGAGTGGGCAGAGACCCTCCCTCCATGCACACTGTGGGAGTCCCACGTCTGCCCACTGGCACTGACCCTGAGATTGGCCTCAGTGTTGCACAGCCTGTTCTGCACAGTTCTGAACAGGATGTGACACTTGATGAACTGCTTTCTCCATTGCATAGAACAGTCAGCAACTTGAACCCAGGTCTTAGAGAATATCCCTTCCATAAACAATGGCCAGGTGAGAGATATGGCTCTGCCATCTGTCTGTGGAACAGACGGAGGCTCCCTGGGGCCTTCCTCAGCTCTGGGGAACATCCATGGGGTTGTGTTTGGGGTCTCTGCATCAGTGAAAGGGAAATCAAAGGAGTGGGCTCTGGTCGCCAGGATCCTGACTGCAAGGAGACAAATTTGTGGGGTGAGTTGGCTACACGTGATAGTTTTTAAAAATAAGGGTCCAACTAATTGTTCTGCTTTGCTTGTTTTATGGGTGGTGTGTGTGTGTGTACACGTTATAATGCGAACAACACTTCTAGAAGAATTTGTAATTGGCAGGTTCTTTGTCTTTCCCAGACAATAATCCATGGCTGTGTGTTTAGGGTTGGAGCCAGTGGCTGGCTTGAGGCACAACCAAGCGAGAGGGGGAGGATAGGAGAAGGAGGAGGGAGAGAGAGATTTATGTGGGACGATCAGGAGCATCCAGGATCCTATTTTAACTTGTATGAGAACTCCAGACTATCTCCAGGTCCTTGGAAATGAAGCACACAGATCCCAGGAAGCCCCCAGTTGCAGCTCTAACGATTGTTTTTGTTCAGCAATTACCCTTTACTGTCCTGACCTTGGTGGAAGTCTCACCTCTCTCCAATGCCTGGCACTGTCTGCTTCTTCTGGCAAAGTCTCACACATTACTCGCTTCATTTGTTCAACAAATATTCATTGAAATGGCTAATCGCTACCTTCTCCTTGATATGTTGACAAGAGTGCTTTTCTCTTTTCTTTCTTTGTTCTCTCTTTGACCTTGAGCAGTTCATTTGTTCGTAAGATTTTGTGTTAGTTGTCTCCAACTGGCAAAGCATATTCTGTGACAGTCCTAGAGCCTGGCTTGTAGGGGCAACTCAGTTAATAAGTGAAGACATGCAAACATATGACTGAGTCACAAATGAAAAATAGATGAGTGAGGGATGAATGAGGAACCTACAATACAAAGAATGCCCTTTTGTGTGTCTCCAGCTTGGTCTCCGTGCTTTATCCAAGCCACAAATTCTTACCCTGTTCTCATACACCTCCACTGAATGAAAACTCTGAGTGTTAGTTTCTTTCTGTACCATGCCCTGCTGTTCCATTTTCTTGGATTAGCTTCAAGTCAACATTGCTATGAGCTCCAACGCTTGCTTTCCTGATTTCTTTCTGGTCTTTCACGTTTTAGAACTTTAGACCTTTTTGATTTTGTTATTCTCCATGTCTTCCTGCGCAAAGCCAAAAAAATGTTATTATTATAAATTGTGTTTGCTGGTCGGAGGGTTTGCTGGCTTATTGTGCTAACGTGTCTGGACTTTCTTTTTATTTTATTTTATTTTATTTTATTTTATTTTTTGTCTTTTTCCTTTTTTATCGGTACCGGGGATCGAACTCACGACTGCCTGCTTGCAAGGCAGGTGCTTATGCCGCTGAGCTAAATCCCCAGCCCAACGTGTCTGGACTTTCATGAGCAAACTGAAGCCACCCCATCTCTCCCCTTGCTTCCCTCCTCTCCATCCTTTCCTTCTCCTCCCACCAGCCCACTCCTTCCCCCTCTCTGAGTTTCTTCTACTCCAGAGCCCTGGACCATGGATGAGTTCTTGTCAAACCCTAGATCCCCTCCGCTCTGATAGTGCCTGAGAGCCAGGAGGACCGGGCTTCCCGCTCCACTTTCCAGCTGAGAGAAACTCTTGGAACTCAAAGTCAAGTGTCCTCTCTAAGCTCGAACTATCTCCCCATTCGATGGAGGAAATAAAGACACTGGCCACTCCGAAGTGTTCTTAGGCCTAAATGAAGTAATCTCCGTAAAGATCCAAGCATGAGTCTTCATGAGTAGGGAGAGGTAACCCCACAGGTCTCCCCTTCCAGATTTGACCACATCCACCCTGGAAGATTTTGTCTTTGTACTAACATGTGGTAGAGCGCTTTAACCTCAGTATCACCTAGGCAATTAGATAAATATTTAACAAATAATTAAAAAACCCTTGAGATTCTTCAATTCTTTGATTGCATAGTTGGAAAATGTAACCATTTTTTTCTCATAGGAAATCGCAGAGTAAACATTTGTGTACAGCTGTAAGCTCTTCTGAAATGACCGAGGCCGTGGGAATTTTGAGTCAGCAGAGATTCAAGTGTTGCTCTTATATTCTTAGCAGGTGACCTGGAGAAGGTCACCTCAAATATCTGTCCCTCCATTTCATCTTTTGCCAAACAGGGCCTGATGCTGCACCTGGGAAGCACGTGTTTAAGGACACTAAATCTGTAAGGTAGCATCTCTCAACCTCTGTTCTCTTGATGTTTTGGGGAGATAGATAATTCTGTCTTGTGCATTGTGGGGTATTTGGCAGCATTCGTGCCTTTGGCTCACAGATTCTCCCCATTTGGACAAGTTTCAGGCATTAACATTAATTATTCTCAGATTATTCTTAGCTGTTGATTGAAATGCATAGCAGACTACGAGTACTGAGCAGTTGTGGGTACACAGAAAGTACCTGCCTCAGTCTGTGCTATGTAGCTATAGCACAAAGCCTAAGGCTAGGTGCATTACAAAGAAAAGTTGGTTTAGCCGTCAGGTCCAACAATATGGCACCAATGTTTAGTGAGGGTCCCCAAGGGCAATTACAGTGTGCATCGTGGGCATGCATGCAAAAAAGTGACAGTATTGATCTAGCCATGAGGGCAGAGACGCCAGGGCATTATTTCCTTCCTGTAGGCCCCAGCTCCTAAACGGATCTCAATTCTAAAACTAAGGACTAAATTTCTAGCATGTGAATTTTTGGGGTGACAAACCATATCCAAATCATAGAATACCCTCATAAATGGGACCTAACGAGGGACACTAATAATAGTTCCCACCACCCTGAGCAGTTTAAAATACTTTAACATTACTTTAACTCAAAGTAAGAGAGTATTGCAAGTCTGCAAATTGAAAGGATCCAGCAGAATCTAGGTCCAGCCCGAGGCTTCCAGTAGAGTTCAAGGTTTAATTTGTTGCAGCCTAGAACTGACTAAGAGGTTATTTCCAACTTCTTGCAAGTCGGACGCCTTAAGGGAATCATTTTGGCAAATAATTCTGCTCCCTCAGCTGCTCATTGGCATGAGAACAAACCCAAGGCTGCAATTTCCTTCCCGACACTCTGCAGAGCTGTTGTGGGCCGCAGGAAGGGGAGAGAGTAACACCAATTAATTTCTCCTTGCCGCGTTGTGATTGGTCGTTTAATCCTAACATCTGCAGGAAGCAGCCATTAAGTCACTTTTTGGATCAGATTCTCTACCCTGGGTTCGTGCAGCTAATCAGTAATGGAGCTAGGGTTTGGCACTGAACCCATTCATTTTTCCTTAAGTGCTATGTTCTTCCCACCTTTCCAGGCCACTGAACAGGAACATATCAGATAAGCAGGGGCCATAAAATATAAACCCGAATTCTGCCGTTTAAAGGATGACTGGACGGGTTAGCAATTTAGAGATGTTTCCTACACCAGTGCTTCTCCGGCTCACCAATGTGTGTGGGGTCCGATGAATACGTAGAATCTGAACTCATTGATCCAAGTTGAACCTAAGCTCCATCTCTAGCTTCTAAGTGAGGCCAGGGCTACTTGGCCCTGACCTATACTTCTGAGCGCTAGTTGCATTCAAATCATGAGGAGGGGGTGTCTGCAAACATACTTGCTGTAAATCAAAACCACAGTAAGACAGCACATCCCCAACATGGCTACTCAAAACAAAGCCAAACAGAAAACAATACAAGTTGGGGCGGCTGTGGCGACTCCAAACCCTCCTGCAGTGCTGGGGGGAACATGAACGTGCAGCTGCTGTGGAGCACATGTGACACTTTCCTCGCTAAGCCAAGCAGAGAATTACCCTACGGTTTAGCAGTTCTGCTTCTGGGTATTTACCCACGAGTGTAGAAAACAGGTGTTCAAACTAGAACTTGTGTGTGGATGTGCACAGCAACAGTATTCGCAGTAGCCAAAGGCAGAAAGCACCTGGGTACCATCAGTGCATCCTTGGTTAATAAAATGCGGCACAGCCACACAACACCATTTCTAGGCTCAAAAAGGAAGGAGATACGGATTCACCCAACAGTGTGGATGGATCTGAAAATCATTTTGCTCAGCGGAAGAAGACAGGCGCAAGAGGTTGTGTGTTGTATGATTCTATTTATAGGAAATGTACAGGATAAGCAAATGCACTGGGTCAGAAAGCAGGACTGGTGGACACTAGTGCACCAGTGGTTTAATGGTTTGGAACTAGAGAGAGGTGATGGTTGCACAGCGCTGAATATGCTCAACACCCCTGAATTGTACCCTTTCAAATGGCTAAGGTGGTGAATTCTTTCTATATTTTACCAAGTTAAAACATTTTCTGGGCTCCTACCTCCAGAATTTCTGACTCGGGGGAGTATACAACGGGACACGAAAATTTGCATTTCTAATGGATCCCCAGGTGCTGCCGCTGG